GTAAGATGTCTTTATAGAGTAATGGCTGAGCATCACAATAGTTTTTTTATGATCATATATATACGGGCTGCATATAAACTCATACAGCTAACTATTCTTGACAGTTTGAGGCACCACTTGGCACTTGCATGCAGACGAATTTGTTGTAAAGACAGCAATATAGGACAAATGTAGAATTTCAAAAGCTATTCAACAATTGAAATGAAAATAAATTCCTTCCAAGATCTAACATGATGATAAATATTTGTCCATAAGAGTGACACCTTGATACTGGACATCACATTATTGATCAGGCCACCAAAATTAAGGGGCTCGAGAAACTTAATTTACCAAATATATATATATATATATAAACTTTTGAAGATATTAATTATATGGCATTGTAGGGGTATAATGACTAATGTAGAACACTATACATTCAAATCTAATTCTTAGGCTCTGTGGAAATACTACGTAAATATTTAATTGGAAAATAAATATACGTGGTGTTCTCAGAAAACAAATTAAAAAATTATAGTGTTATGTTACCATGCAAGCATATATAAGTAAGGGACTTTATGTCATAGAATCAGGTAGGTATAAGACAACTCCGTCCGATATATTTAGCATTTTTAATTCTTTGTTTGCAATCACGTGACTTTTCATCCAAATGACGGGCAATCAAACAACTTGTGGACGATTTTCTCCTATCAAAATGGCTGTAGCAAGAAAAACTGAACGGTAATTCATCTTTCGAGTCTTAAACTGTCTCTAAACTCGATCAATACATTAAAATAGTCGTTTTTTGTTATACCTGCCCGTCAACTGAAATCCCAAAATTACGTCATTGCAAACAAAGAATTAATTAATAAAGATGAAAATATCTTAAATTTCACTTTGAAAAGATATAATTTATATAATTTGAAAATTTAAAGTCAATGCACGAGGATCATTTTTGGTAAATAGACAGTCTCTAAACCTTTTTCAGATTCACACTGGAAATGTTTTTCAAATTATCCTGACTATGGAAATAGTATGGATCTTCGTTGGCAATAGTAGGAAATCCAATTTCCATACAAATTGCAATTTCCATACTATGGCCGATATATTGTGGAAATAATATGGATATACTATGGATTTACGCCCGTATTCTAAAAGCTCACTCACACTCAATGAGTGGAGGTTCAATCTGAGCTTCTCTCGAGTGTCAGTGCTGTTTTTGAATAGCTGGAGGGCTAGTGTCGTACCTTACTATGTGACTACTAACCCTCCAGCTATTCAAAAACAGCATTGACACTCAAGAGAAGCTCAGATTGAACCTCCACTCATTGAGTGCGAGTGAGCTTTTAGAATACGGGCGTTAGTACTTAGTCGGTGTAATTGCAGATTCTATGGATTTCACTATTTTTTCCAGTGTCATATTCTCCAAGAAAACATATCGAATACGTAAATTTTGTATATATAGATTATAGGAAGTAAATGATATAGCCTATTACCAATAAATCTCACTTTGTTGGTAATGTTGTTGATGAAAAGTTACAAATCTGACATTATGTACCTGAATACACACAATCAGAATAAACAATAAAGGAACTCAGAACCATACTGTCCATATAGGCTTCGGTAGCGCAATCGTCAGACCACTTCTACACGGTAACGTGGACTTTGGCGTGGTCATTAATGATAGGTTGCGTGTGTTTGTAAAACAGGATGTAGATTGTTGATCATATATCGACCTTGAACTTAAAGACTGAAATAGAACAATATTATGGCCATCATTGCGGTATCTTGCGTATTGTAGAGTGGGCGATCCCGGTCCTTATAGCAACTCAGTACTCATTCACCAAGCATGGTCATATTACTCAATCACTAATGTTTTGCGTGCATGCATGCTGTTTCTGCTGTAAAAAACCCAATAATCTATAATACTATATATATTTAATTGTTTTTGGGTGTGGGTCAGGTTAATTGTAGTGTTTGTATACTGATATTGGACCATGTTTGTATTCAGTATTATACAGCACGCCTAGGATGTCTATAAAAGTCTAAATTTGTGTGCATGTATTCAAAATGACAAAGTCGGGAACAACATGAACAATCAGAAATGTTAATATAACGTTATCGTGAGTATAACAACTTTATTTTGAAGAGGGTAATACATGACAAACATTGTACCTGCATGTCAACTATATTAGTTTATATTGCACATGCACCATACTGAGTCACGTGTTTGCCATAGTGTTTGTAAGAGACAGGATGTATGTAGGTTATAAATATACTGCATGGTATCTGCAGTCTGTCTGCCGAGTAGGCGAGGTTTCCCTGGCCTTTATGAACTGCTTACTTTACCAACCATGGTCATATGTTTTAGCAATCTGCATAAGTGTTGTATGCATGGCTGTGCTTGAAAATAATTATATAACTGAACATAGGTTTACGTGGGAAGCAGTAAATAAGTCGTGATGTCGTGAAGGAATTTTAAAACCGCAAAATATCCAAGTTTCAAGAAAAGAATGCCGCTTCCTTCGTTCTCTCAATATAATTACAGTTAATTACAACATTTACAAGGAGACTGAGAATTATTACTTGAAGATGTACCGGCGAATAAACGGCAGAAAAAAAGAGAGTTTTGTGCATAAGGTTAAAGCAGTATTGTAATATTTATTTCGGAAAGGATGTTTGTATCTAAGCAAGTATATACTGAACACTCAACTACCGCCGGGGAACTGTCTAAAACAATTAGTATGGCAGAGAATATCTTTCCAAATTAGCAAAATGTTGAGAATTTATCTTATACAGCTCTATATATTTCATATAATTATAGAACATTCTAAAACAATTAGTATGGCAAATAATTGAAGAGAATATCTTCCCAAATGTATTAAGCCTATGTTCCACAGTCACATGATATTTTTACTGCAGAAACAGAGTTATTTGCCCAATATTAAATACCAAATAACCGTCAATACATTAAAAATTTCCTATAAAGTAGAATAAAAGTTAATTAAAAGTAACCTATACAATATTTTTATGCCGTAGAACTAAGGCAGTGCATGGTAATTTTCCAGCATTATAGCCTCAATCATTTTTACTGTAGTACAAACTACCTGCATGATAACGATTGTTGTAAACTACCAGCATGCATTACGAGCATATTGGATATAGTACAATATCAATTTCAAGTTTTCTCGGTGTGTTTGTTTAGATTTTCCGGCAGCGCTTCCTAGGACCCTAGCGATAGTAACTTCTAGAAGATGAATACATTTCTATTATACTTGCTGGTCCCACTTGACAGAACATTAAATGTACATGTTAGCACCGGCTAGAACTGAAAGTTTGCTTTATATAGCAGACTAGCAGTATATGCAAGTAATTTAAGACTGGTTATATTTCACTGCAGTCAACGTACAAGGTCATCGGGAGCAATTTGACTTCTTTATATTTAGTAACCACAACTTAAAATTTGCTTTGAATTGGTTGTATATAAATTACTCGTAATTTGGTGATATGGAGAAATTAGACATGACCATGCATTTTTCATGCATGATAAGTTCATTGTAATTATTGATTAAATGGCCCAACTTGTATTTTATGGTTGTATTTTAAAGTTATAAAAACCCATTAATTTTGGTTATTAGTGCATAATAAAACTGAAAGACGCTGGATCGTGCATAATTATATAGTTTGCATTAAAAGAATGATTAAAAATTTCAAGATAACGATATTTAAGCACATTGTATCTTCCGTAATAATGCCTGCTACAAAATCTTTCTTTGTATTCTGTTACAGACTTTTGGTATTTAATGGTAATAAAATGTCAGTTAATATAGAAATCTTTTGTCATCAGTATAATCAGCACAAAAGTTATTATATATATACCAAGTAATAACCGGTAGGGGTTTTGAATTGTAAAAGAAAAGAAATTGAATTTTACATGTTTTAATAATGTCACAATCATGTAACACATTTGATACATTTAGATCATTATACAATCTATCTTCAAAGTGTTGAGTGTTTTTGCTTTCATTTATCCAAATGTTGTCGCAAATGTACTCAACTCGCTTGGCATATTCGTACTTCTTGAATAAGTGTTTTTATTGTTTTCACAACATACTTGTGGCAAATTGCGAAACATTTCTAATTGCCTGACTAGATTGCATGTATCAATAAAAAGCAAATTGTAGGGAGTCGTTGCTCGATAATAAACAAAATGGTGCTCCTGCTATTTCAATTGTCCAAAAACTGGGCGGCAGGGAAACTCTTTGTGTTCGTTTTAATAAGGGGGTGTTTCTGATATAAATGCAACCAGATTTGGTAAAATTGTAAAACCTATTTTTATGATTGTTTTTAAACGTCTTTGTAATTGTTTACAATTGTTTTCTACAAGAAAAAATGCTATTATAGCGTGAGTGAAGGCGTGAGCCGCTATGCTAAACAATCAAGATACCGCCATTTTGTTTCGTTCTCATCATGTGCATTGACGCGTTGTTTGTTTTAGAGCCGAGCATTGCTGTTCGTGTGTTTTTTGTTGTCCGTTTGTTATTCATAAACGTTCAAAGGTCTTCAAAGTTGGCCAACTTGCCTGCACGATTATACAAATATAACATAATTGAGTTCTCAAATAGAAATGCAGCGAGCATTTTTTGAAAAAGACAAATTAAGATTGTGTTTGCTAGCTATAGACAGGGATTAAAATGAGAGCTGATGACTAAGTAAAGACATTCTTTTTAAGATCAATGAATTAATACCTAGATCAAACATTGCAAAAGTCCCGACAACATTTCAAATATCTCATTGTTGGATCTGTCAATTTAGCTGTCACCACAAATATCTATCTCAATAGCGCTCCGTTTCAAGCTCTGCGAATGATTTCGTGTTCAATTGCCTAAATTCATGCTGTGTTTGCTTTGAAATGCACTTCGTGAAACAAAACAGCGCTATAGCTTAATAGAAACGGTCGGTTTAATCGAAAGAGTTAAGTATTTGGCAAATTTGAGGCATAATCTTGAGCAAAGTCTGCCGTTATCTTAATCAAAATTGTATTATTGACAAAATATTCCAAACCAACACACAATGTTTGCAAGCAGCCGCTTACAAATCACGTGATAAAACGTTGACCCCACTTAGGAAACTCGAACTGTGATTGGTTCAGATGTGAATAAAATGATCTTTGCGGCTGACATGGAATTCTCAATAAGGGCACTCAAACAGAGATATCCCGCTGATCAAGTTATAAGATACTGAGTCTCTTCGCTTGAACATTCACCGATTCATGCTCTCTTAAAAACGTTCAAGTACTTCAAACGATCATTTCTTATCAAAATTTTACAACTTTACACGATCGTAGTTGAAGGATAGTTAGAGTACCAAGAGTAAGACATCGCAAGGACGTCGTGTTACCTTAAGTATGTTTGTTAAATCTCGTTTTCTCGTGAAGAAATGACACATTGTTTATTAATATTTCACACTGCCGCCTTACTGAGCTTCACTCGCAACTTTTGTACTTTACGCTGAGTGCGACTGTATGTACAGGTATGTTATATATTCTCTCTGTTCTAGGGTGATCAAAATGAATCAATCTGACGCTGCCAGTACGCTGTATGGTAGACAAACTTCATGTGGTCAGAATACAATGTATCCAACATATGACTTTCAACTGACAAATATGGATAATTGGAATGGCAAGATTGAGAATCAAATATCGAATCATGGAGCCAGTCACTATCAAGGCAGTAACGACAGCGTTACACATTTCCTTAGATCTGGTATGACTGCGCAAGCAAACTCCGCGTACACGTCAAGCAACTACAGTAGCGTGCATGCATTTAATTATAACAATAACATGAACGATAACTCAAGATTTTATCATGTAAACGACGAACATCTGTCGACGCAAGGATGTAATCAAGGCAGACATATTGAACGCAATCCTAGTACGAAACTCTTCAATCCTTTCTCTTTGAATCCAGAAATTTCGTCAGCCGCATGGCCGGGTGAAGAACGTGGCATGCCAAATCAAGCACGACCTTATAGCTATACAGCGACAAACCCAGCTCTTACAAGAAGTAGTAGTTCTACTTTCCTTCAAGCGAATGAATTACGCGGCAATACACAAGCGGGAATAGAAACCACAACAAGACCGCGTGCCTTGTCCACCGTACGCTTAGCTGACATACCAGCGCTAAACTTAATAAAAAGTCCTAGTACTAACAATATACCAGTATTTCGTTCCCCGTACGAGGACCCTACCCGGGAATTCAGTGAAAACGCAATCATCCGCTCAATGCAACCCACAACAAACCCTTACTCAGATTATTTCAAAAGCCAAAAACTAGCGGAGAAAATCCCCCCACCAGTTGTAAAAGTTGAGGAAGGGTATGATAGACCTGTCCCAGCCAAACGAACACCTATTTTAAAATTGGAAAAATCTTCCAAAGTAAACGAACAGAGGAAAGATAATCGTTATGATAACCCGTTCACAAATGACAATCCTTTTACTAACAACTGGATTGTACAGAAAAGTGAGTCACAGCGTATTATGGAAGAACACATAGCCAGTATTACTGAAGCGAGAGATTGGATCTACCCCGCAGATGTTTCTAAAAGTAAAGTTAGTGAAGGGGAGAGTGAACAAACTTATAAATGTGATTGGACAAACTGTGGTTTGATTTTTCCTGAACAAGATGACTTGGTACGACATATTGAGAAAGTTCATATCGATCAAAGAAAGGCAGATGATTCATTTGTCTGCTACTGGGAGAACTGTGTTCGCAAGCAAAAACCTTTCAACGCAAGATATAAATTGGTGATTCATATGCGAGTCCACAGTGGAGAACGTCCAAACCGTTGCACGGTAGGTCGCACTATGTTTTCATCAATAATTAGTTGTATTTCACCGGGCAATGATTCATTATAACACCTTGCTTTCTAAATTATACACCGCCAGAACTTGGCTTGAAAGGCAAACTGCGCGCTGGCATGGGGCGTTCAGCGAGAAAATAGCTGTGCTATGCCATGCTTCCCAGTAATCTCAGAGATTTCGTAAATTATAATTACTCAGAAAGTGTCTTCACGTTTTAGCTATTTAACAAAATGTTTTTGTTAATGCATGTCAGAAAAAATAATTCATTCAAGTAATGATTAGTAGACAGCTATTTAGTCATAAGTCAATATTTTTCAGCTCAGGCTGAGATTATTATAAAAACTGAGTAGAAATCTGCGCTGCCTCATGTCGGAAAACCACATGATCCGAGCCAAGGGCCAAGGTGGGAACGGACTAAAAAGAAAGCCGCATTTCTCGTTTGAAAATGAATAAAATGATATTTCAAGTGATCTAATCATTCAATCTTTCTGGTTAATTAAGGATGATGTTTTAAACAATAGTTTTAGCAATTTTCACACAAGCCTGCAATTAGAAATGCACACATAACTAGTTATTATCTCGACTGGCCTTGCCAGATCATTACTCATTAAAGATTACTTTAATCCCTCTGCTGCATATTTATGCAAATTTCCCTTGTTTGTTCAAATTTTACAACATTTCTTTGTTCAAATCATCACGAAATAAAATCTTACAGAAATCTAATTGTCCTTTTACAAACCATAAGACACAGAGATTAAACGTTTCTTCTGTATATACGTTTCAAAAACCAACTTGGAAGGGCGAAATAAGTGATTTTTGCATACAGCTGATATTTCACGTTAGAGTTATTTGCAAACAATGTTAAACTTGAATGTCAAGTGTTCAATATCTACCTGAGGGTAGATCGATTTCATTAGGACATTACTTGAGCTTGAGGGTTAAAATTATGTACATTATGAGCAACAATCTTTTAGTTCTGTACATATTTCGTCAAGAAAACAAAGGATATGCTATGGTTTTATACAGAAAAAGTTCGTGGCGGCATTTCTTTGCTAGCACTAATGATATGTAGTGATCACTCATTTGTGTAACCATAGTAATATCACGAATAATGAATGATTTATTTTTGAACGACATGATATCGAGATGATACTGTTCAACATCAAATATCTAATTTTAGTATATATCATTTCCTTCCTAATTTTTGTAAGAAAAACAAAATAAGCATCCTGCACAAATAGGATTAAAAACGTTAGATTGCTCAAATCAATCCTCATCATTTCATACAGAACATTAATCCACGTTACCCTGGTTTTTTTCTGAAAAACCACAAGTATTTTTGCCTCTAAGATATTGGGCGCGTTCCGATCTAATAGTCATCTTAGAAAGTATTGTGACATTTTTCAAAATGTCCAACTTTGAATATAGACTTTCATATCCATGTTCCAAGTTTGGGTTTCAAAGTTTGGGTTTAAAGTATAACGTTGTTAGCCTGTAATATGTTTACTATAGGTTACTATAGCTTACCAGACTTGACCATAAAGTATTTACTAATTTTAAATACAGTTGATTGATTGATAGCATCCAGATAAAACCCACAGGCACAGCAAAATTGTTTTCAACTATTTTTTCTGGACATCTGATGTATGTTGTAATTCTTTGTGGTGGTATACTGAGGCACTAAACTTCAATTAAAAGCAAACTCCGAATAAAAGTTCCATCTTGAAAATTAAGATTTGAGAAAAAAGAAAAATCGAATTTGTAACAAATTTATGGCAACAAATTTGAAATATTATTTTGAAACTTTTCTCAGACTTTCATTCGGACTCTGGTTGGTCCTGTGTATTTTTTGTTATCCACAGGCAATACATTTTGGACAACCTAATATATGTTATAAATTTGTACATCTTTGTGTTACTGCTTCTACTGTTACTTGTTACTGCTTCAGCCTTAGGTGATTTAAAAACTCATTTCCTTTCTTTTCTTGCAGTTTCTGGGATGTAATAAAGCGTTTTCAAGATTGGAAAATTTGAAAATACATCTTCGCTCTCACACTGGCGAGAAACCATATTTATGTACATATCGTGGTTGTCCCAAGGCTTTCTCGAACTCGTCAGATCGAGCTAAACATCAGAGAACGCATATTGATACGGTAATTATTCTCCAATAATGCAATATGGTCATGGACTGCAGTTAATCATTACAACTTTTAAAAATCTAGATGAAGTTACTTCCGTGAAGTAAATCTCATTGAATGAACTAGAATGTAAAATTATGTTCATATGCATGCATGTCAGCTTTTAAGCCGTCCTCCACATATTGTTCTTTTCAAGACACTAGTTAGTAACAAATTGTTCTAGTTGTAGAATCATTAGATTACTAGCTTGTGCTCAATTATCAATTTGTTGTATTTTACAGAAACCGTACGCGTGTCAGTTTCCTGGCTGTCCTAAAAGATACACGGACCCAAGTTCTTTAAGAAAACACGTCAAACAACATAACGACAAGACAAGGCAACCTGGGAAAAGAGTAAGTATTGAAAACAGCCAATTAAGACTCTACACGTTTCACATGGAAGCTAACTTAGAACACAAAGTCAGTTCTGTGATCACCGACGTATAGGAATTTTGCATAGGTAAATTCTAAATTTTGAAAGATTTGTAAGAAATGTTTGAGGGAACTAACTGACTCAGTGTTAACAACGAGTCAGTTCCTTCAAACATTTCTTACATGCAAATCCTTCAAAACGTAGAAATTTCTACTATGATCACAAAATTTTTGATAGTTTAAGCAAGTCTTTATATTAGGCCACATAAGGAATAGTTGGTGATCATCCCCGCCCGCCCATAAAAAAAAGTCCGCCCAAGAATTTTTTATTTTTTGTTTAAAAAACAACTTGTCTCCGTTGAAATTTAAAATTATCGTGTTTTTTTCTCTGTAAATGACGCGTCACTTGACATTTGTAGCAGTCCATGCAGTCAAGAACTGAAAAGTACCAAATCTTTATATAAAAAAACCACCCCAAAAAAACCGCCGTCCATGGATATTGTTACAGGCCGGGAAAACGTTTCGTTCTTACAGGGAGGCAGGAAAATCTGATTATCCTCTCAATATTAAACAATAAAATACAATATACTTTATTGAACTCTCCCCAAAGAGGCTTTTCATAGTCAATTATATAAAAAATTATTGTAGATTTATGTTACTGAATCCAGAATCCTTAATATCTAATGGAATAGATGTCAACGACTGTTACAAATGTATTTTTGAAGACAATTACGTAATTTATATTTAGAAATATGGATTGATAAACTAGATTTTATGTTCTTTGATCATTCCATAGTCAGACAGCATGATGATAAAAAAAAACACATAATGCATTGGCCAGGAATCGAACCTGTGCCTCCCGCATGGCGCCAACGTGAGAATTCTACCACTGAACCACCAATTAAGCCTACAGTAAACCTCCGAATATAAGCCCCTCTGAATATAAGTCCAGGGCTGATATTCGGAGGTTTACGGTATCTAACAAGACCGCCCCGAAATATTATGATTTTCACTCGGAACCATTCTCGAAACATTCAAACTAAACTTATGTTTCCTTCCAGGGAGGCAGAAAAGGTCGAAGTAAAACTGCCAAGAACAAAAAAGAACTGTTGGCTGCAGGAGTGACATTCCCTACTCCAATGACGACATTACCAGCATTCCTAGAGAATGGTTCACATTTCATGGACAGTACGCCAGAGCCAGCTGCCTATGCATTTGACTTTAATAATTTTCCTTCAGCTGACGCTAATCCTTTGAAATTTAATGACGTCACTTCAAGTGAAAATGATTTAATAATACCAACATTTGTTGACACTTTGAAACCAGTTATATCTAGCAATTAGTCATGGCATAATGATAATAATATAAAAAATAGAAAATAAGTGTAAAGTGACAAATTATTTTGAAATATGCACAGTAAGGGACAATGTATTTGGGGGGCTTATACACATTTTGTAACATTTGTTGTGTTAACGTTTGTGACATATTGTTAGCAAGGTCTCTAGCATATGGTTGAGAAGTCTACGGGAACACTCTGTATTGTGTTACAATATGTGAATGGATTACTATAATAGATGACTATATACAACTTTGTATTTATTTCTTGACGTTTCTAAATGTAAATATTTTCAACCACTCTAGCAGTGTCCTCATTTGTATTTACGCATGCGCAGTTAGCAATGTGGAGTGATTGACGCTCATTCAAACTCTTGGTTAGAAAGTCTTTAACCATAACGGTAATTGTAAAGAAAAACACCATGTTTATTCTGAACAGCTTTCATCAATGTTTCTTTATCATGTGCAAAAACATTTGAGTAGCATCTTGATAAATATCAAGAATTTTTGCACATGGAAATTTCGACTGAAAACTATATACTCTACACGTGACCGGAAGCAGTTGCGACAACCATTGCCCCCCGGCTAGCCTGAGTACCATATTTTCCTTCCTTAAAGAAGGCCTTACATAAATCCTTGTCTAGTCACATAAAAAAAGCCAAAATCGGATTTTCACCTTGATAGGTCTCTCAGACAATAATTAGAATATACTATTGTTCATGATATATTTGGTAGTTTTCACTATAATTAGATTGCTGTTGTTATTGTGTAAAATTAACATTTCCCCTGGGACATTTTGATTTGATACTAAATATAAACTTTACTATGGATGGAGAGCGATCAGTTAAGGTTAGTGTCTGACTCCATTTGTATATAAAATAGAGGCTGACATCGGCAGGACCCCTTGTGTAGCGCGCTCAACACTACCAATAGAAAAATTTGGTAAACGTTTGTTTAAGCCTAATAGGCAATTCCCCTTATTACGTTTTCGTAGCGCTTTGCATTGTGGTTATAGTGGTATCACTGATAAAGATAGCGGCCTCGAATGAAAATATTGAATGTTTTCGCGAATATTTTGCTGTTGGCTATCGCGCACCTGACCCTAGCTTTTTTTAAAAGTTCTTGCACGGGTCAGGACAAAAAATAAGCCATCTTGAATATCAGTGATACCACTATAACCACAATGCCAAGCGCTACGAAAACGTAATAAGGGGAATCTAGTATTAACAACTTTACATGCCTAATTATCATTGTTCTAGTATACATTTGTACAGAAGCATAGCATAGACCAAAGGTGTAACTAAGCTTTAGAATAATCGACATGAGTGAATAACACTTATACATTAATGCTCACTAACTTTTGCTCTATTTTATGTTTCTGTGAACTAGAAACACTCCCTAGGCATGTGAGTATCTAAAGTTGTTAATTAGGTAGCAACGATGTAAAGAACGTTACCCAACTTTGTCTACGAGCTACAGAGTTCAGTTCCTAAGAGGCCACGTTTATTTTGCAGGAGGGCAAATATAAAAAAAAAAAAAAAATTGTCTAATATCCAGTAATACCACAGGCACAATGACAGGCCACGTGGCGTGCTCATGCGTGATAATTGCGTGTTTGATATGCATTTTTAAAAGACCATCGGCTGATAAAAAGCTGTTTCGGAATAGCAACGTTTTATTTCCGTGTTTTCCCTTATTCTGTAACGAGACTCGACATGAAATATAAACTCATCTTTACTGAGATTTAGAAAGAATGATTTTCATGATTTTCAAGGCTATTGTCATTAAACCATTTTTATAAATTAATCACCATCATTCAAAGAAAATGAAAGATTTCTGATAAACCATTGTTCATAAATTACGGGAACCACTGAGTATTTTAATAAAATATTAAACAACGGTAACTCCGAAAATAAACATTTTAATAATTAATTAATTATTAAATTGTTTATTATTAAATTATTATATAAATATTAAAATGTTTATTTATATACTGCCATTTTTAGGTTATGGATAAATATCGAGATCTGGTTGGCATCTCACTCAATTCAATATATATCCATTTCTCTGTAATATAGAATTGGGGGAGGGGGGGGGGGGGGGGTATACAAATCCGCCGATCCGCCCAAATTGAAGCAAAATCCGCGATCCGACAATGTCTTGTCCAAATTTGAATCCGCTAAAAGCTCTACTATGAAATCACAATCCAGGATCCGAACTAAATTGCAAGCTAAATCCACAATCCGAGACAAAATATTATTAAATAAATCCGCAATCCGCTGTATTAATAAGATCCGCAAATCCGTGTAAAATATTCGCCAGATCCGAAATCCGAACATTTTTCTCTGTGAAATCCGACGATCCGCAA